GTATAGTATTTAAATATATGTCTGAGAAACACATAATATTGGCCCTTTAAAATTCCCATCCAGATATCAAACACTCCATTTACAAGTACCACAGTTGATACTTAGGATTTCTAGTGGGATTCAGGATATATTTTAGTTTGATTATTATCAAGTTAATTAAAATATTTACTTGTCTTAGACTGAACTACTTACATGTAAGAAATGCTAAGAAACAGAGAATTCACAAAGATGAGTTATTGAACAAAATTATGATTATGTCCTGATGCATCTCAGTAATCCAGGTAAAAAATCAAAAAGAAAAAAAATAGTATAGGTCCTCTGGACGGGTTCTTCTTTAATGAAACTTGAGTATCAGTCACATGGAGGCAGGACTTAAAAGCCTGAATTTAGCCTGAAACTCTCAGACTGAAGAAGTCTCTTGGAGGAGAGACGAAACGTTTCATTAGAGAAGAACCCGTCCAGAGGACCTATACTATTTTTTTCTTTTTGATTTTTTTAAGATGCATCAGGATATCCAGGTTATTCAAGTTAATAAAGTTAAGTTTTTACCAGGTTAATAATGTTAATAATGTTACTAAAGTTAAGTTTTTACCAGGTTAATGAGGTTTATTTGTTGTTCTTACAGAGGACTACGCCTCTCTGTGCAGCTCCTTTTCTGCTCCGGTCTTTTCTGAGGTTTTTCCAGAGTCTGGTGGATCTGAATCTTCAGCAGGTCGAGGAGGACCCACCGGTACAACAGGACAGATTAATAACCTGTTTACTGCAGTTTGTTTTAAACGGTTATTAAAGGTTCGATCTCCTCAGGACCCCGCTACAGTCCGGACTTCTTCCCTCCAGTGTTGGCTCCCAGCAGAGACTTCAGTCGTCCTGATTATGATGATTACTCCCCAGCAGGGGGCAGCAGGTCCAGCATTAGGGGGAGGACACCAACCTATGGTCCTTCAGATGAAACCTATGAAGGCTCTGAGTTCAGGTGAGTCCTGAAGGTCTTCACCTGGTTTTTAATGCCCTGAAACAGTAACAGGTTGTTTTTTTTTTGTCTCGGCAGTAATTATTATTCTGAAGGAGATTATGGATCCCCTGACAGCTCTCCTCCCAGGACTCCATCCTTCCGCCTCCCCCCAGACCCCCGATCTGAGATCGGGTTTGGGTCCCGGCCTCTTCCTCCATCCCGGTCCGACTTACCTCCTCTGAACCTGGCTCCGCTGCCTGGATCTCCTTATATGATCCAGGAGGAGGAGGAGGAGGAGAGGACATGGAGGCCAGGCCCGAGGTTCCCCCCCCTCACCGACCGGAGCCGAGGAGGAGGAGGACCACGGAGGGTGTATGAGCGTGAGTTTGTCATGAAGCTGTGAGCTCGGCTGGTTTCACTAATAAAACATGAAGAAGCTGAAAAAAGATCAGAATCTCTGCAGTTTGTTTCATTTGCAGCAGAAAACTGAATATTTCACTTAAATCTCATGAAGCTGTTTTTCTTCATCGGCTCGTCTTTCAGGACGTTACGAGACGTACGCCGGCCTGAATGCAGCAGAGGACTGTGGGATACTCCACGGCTGTGAGAACGGCAGGTGTATCCGTGTCACCGAGGGTTACACCTGTGACTGTTACCCAGGATACGAGCTGGATTTGACCTCCATGACCTGCATCGGTACCAAAGATCATCTCCCTCTACTTTCTCTGAATGTTTGCTTTTAGGGCGGCTGTGGCAGAGTGGTTCGGGGAGTCATCCTGTAACCGGAGGGTTGCCGGTTGTATCCCCTGTTCCTGGTGGCCTGGTGGTCAGAGGGTCACCTGTCAGTGATGAAGTAAACGAGACGACTGCTGAGTTTAAAACATAACTTCTGTTCTGATTTCAGATCTGAATGAGTGTGAGGACGTCACCGGACAACAGTTCCCGTGTGTGAATGCCCGCTGTGTGAACACCGAGGGCTCGTTCCGCTGCGTCTGCAGGAGAGGATACGTCATGTCCCGCAGACCCAACCACTGCGTCGCTGCTTAGACCGGACCAGACTGGACCTGATCGGACCTGACTGGCAGTATCATTATCGGGCCATGTTTGGTCCAAATCACCTTCATGGTTTGGTTGCACTAAACTAAGTGAGACTGGATGAGCCTGTACACCACGTGATCCTTGATCCCTGAACCCTAAACCTCTGATCCTTGATCCCTAAACCTCTGATCCCTGAACCCTAAACCTCTGATCCCTGAACCCTAAACCTCTGATCCTTGATCCCTAAACCTCTGATCCCTGAACCCTAAACCTCTGATCCCTGAACCCTGAACCTCTGATCCCTGACCTCTGAACCCTGAACCCTAAACCTCTGATCCCTGAACCTCTGATCCTTGACCCCTGAACCCTAAACCTCTGATCCCTGAACCCTAAACCTCTGATCCCTGAACCCTAAACCTCTGATCCCTGAACCCTAAACCTCTGATCCTTGATCCCTGAACCCTAAACCTCTGATCCCTGACCTCTGATCCCTGAACCCTAAACCTCTGATCCCTGAACCCTAAACCTCTGATCCCTGACCTCTGATCCCTGAACCCTAAACCTCTGATCCCTGACCTCTGATCCCTGAACCCTAAACCTCTGATCCTTGACCCCTGAACCCTAAACCTCTGATCCTTGACCCCTGATCCCTGAACCCTAAACCTCTGATCCCTGACCTCTGATCCCTGAACCCTAAACCTCTGATCCCTGAACCCTAAACCTCTGATCCCTGACCTCTGATCCCTGAACCCTAAACCTCTGATCCCTGAACCCTAAACCTCTGATCCTTGACCTCTGAACCCTAAACCTCTGATCCCTGACCTCTGACCCCTGAACCCTAAACCTCTGATCCTTGACCTCTGAACCCTAAACCTCTGATGCCTGAACCCTAAACCTCTGATCCCTGACCCCTGAACCCCAAACCTCTGATCCTTTACCTCTGAACCCTAAATCTCTGATCCCTGACCTCTGATCCATGAACCCTAAACCTCTGATCCATGAACCCTAAACCTCTGATCCCTGAACCCTAACCTCTGATCCCTGAACCCTAACCTCTGACCTCTGAACCCTAACCTCTGATCCCTGAACCCTAACCTCTGATCCCTGAACCCTAACCTCTGATCCCTGAACCCTAACCTCTGACCTCTGACCCCTGAACCCTAACCTCTGATCCCTGAACCCTAACCTCTGATCCCTGAACCCTAACCTCTGACCTCTGACCCCTGAACCCTAACCTCTGATTCCTGACCCCTGACCTCTGATTCCTGAACCCTAAACCTCTGATCCCTGACCCCTGAACCCCAAACCTCTGATCCTTTACCTCTGAACCCTAAATCTCTGATCCCTGACCTCTGATCCATGAACCCTAAACCTCTGATCCATGAACCCTAAACCTCTGATCCCAGAACCCTAAACCTCTGATGCCTGAACCCTAAACCTCTGATCCCTGACCCCTGAACCCCAAACCTCTGATCCTTTACCTCTGAACCCTAAACCTCTGATCCCTGACCTCTGATCCATGAACCCTAAACCTCTGATCCATGAACCCTAAACCTCTGATCCCAGAACCTTAAACCTCTGATCCCTGAACCCTAAACCCCTGAACCCTAAACCTCTGATCCTTGACCCCTGACCTCTGATCCCTGAAACCTAAACCCCTGAACCCTAAACCTCTGATCCTTGACCCCTGACCTCTGATCCCTGAACCATTAACCTCTGATCCCTGACCCCTGAACCCTAATCTCTGATCCCTGAACCATAAACCTCTGATCCCTGAACCCTAACCTCTGATCCCTGAACCCTAACCTCTGAT